CGTCCGGGTGGGACCGAGTCTGGTGGGGATGACGGATGGGTGTTAGGATGGATGGATGCTTTGCGCAGTGGGGCGGTTCCCCTCCCAGAGTTAACTTCGTGGGAGGGGTGACGTGGGCTTGCAGGGAATCTCGGATACATTCTGAGTTTGGCCTTACCACCGTGCGTGCATTATCCAATCCCTCTCTGTCCATTTCTCCTTTCAAACTGGAAACACCGTCATTGACATAATAAAGTGGTTATACGGTGAGTATTTTTTTTTTTTTTTTAAGAATCCAGACAGTGTTGAAAATCATGAGAGTATAAAATCACACAAGGTCCCAGCACTCTGAGATAACCGATGCTAACATTCCAGTGTGTATCTAATTATTTTTCTACCCTGTTATTATTTTTTTAAAACGAAATAAATGGCTGCTATCACAAAAGATGAATCTCCCCCCCGCCCCCAGCCACTCCCACCCCTGAACGCCATCAGGGTCATCTGCTCACCTGGGAGCACATGCTCTCTCTCTGGTGTGACGCAGGTGATAAAGGCCAGCAGCCTGGGAGGGAGTCAGGAGGCCTCTGTCCATCCACCCCCCACCCCCACCCCTCCACCCCTCTTCATCTGTGCCTGCCCCGCAGCCTCATGCTGGCCACACTCAAGCTGGCCCTGGCCCTGCTGAGAGGCAGGTCACCCTGCCCGGCTGGTTCCTGCCCCCTTCCCGCCCCCTGGCTGCTGAGTGCCTGCCAAGTGCCAGGCTGCTCTTTTGTTTCTGGAATCCAGGCTGCTCAGCAGAAGGGGCTGCTTCGTGCGCCCCGGCTGCCTTGGCCATCCAGCTGACTCGGGTCAAGAGTGCTTTGAGGGGAAGGCGGCTGCCTAGAGCAAAGCCCTTGTAATGAATGCCTTCCCCCCCGATTGGGTTAGGGAGGGAGCCAGCTGGACGCTCCAACAAAACAGGACCAGCGTGCTGGCGTCCCACGTGGCTGCTCGTGTGCCAAAGCATCGCCCTCCTCTGAGCGCTGGGAAGAAGCCGAGGCTCCAGCTCCTAATCCCTTCGGCTTGGGAGCTCTGCGGAGGGGAGAGGCAGGGTTCCCTGCCTGCGGGGGTCCCCAGGCTCCGCTGTGCACCCTCAGGGAGAAAGGGTGGTCCCACCGGACAAAGCAGGTTCCTCCGAGAGCCTGAGAGAGGCAGAAAATTCAACTTACCTGAGGTCTCATTGCCCAGCTTGAGGGAAAGGCCGCTAATGCTTGCCGAGTGCTTCAGAATACCTCACATTTATGGCAGCAAGACCCCCATTTTCCAAGTAAAGACACTGGGGCTCGGAATTCACATGCCCAGGCTAGTAAATAGTGGAGTTGAGATTCCAACGCGGAAATGCCTGTCTCGCCTATCTCTGCCAGGCTGCTCCCCCACCCCCCAAATGTTGGGGAGGAGGGTATTTGGTCCAGGAAGGATGCCCCTATATTCATTTTTTTTTTTTTTAAATAGACTTTGTTTCTAGGTTCACAGCAGTATTGAGCAGAAGGTACAGGGATTTTCCATACACCCCCTGCCCCCACACCTGCAGAGCCTCCCCTGTTATCAACAACCCCCACCAGAGAGGTACCTTTGTTGCAGTCGACAAACCTACATTGACACATCATCGTCTCTAAGTGTACGTGAGGGCTCCCTCTGGGGCCGTGCACATCCTGTGGGTCTGCACACATGTTGGCTGACATGCACCCTTCGTTATAGCATCACCCAGAGAAGTTTCCCTCCCTAAAAGTTCTCTGTGCCCTGCCTGTTCATCACCCCCCCCTCGCCCAGCTTCAGACCACTGACCTTTCTGCTGTCTGCATCCTTTCTAGAACGTCCTGTAACTGGGATCCGAGAGGATGTAACCGTTTCAGATTGGCTTCTCCCACTTGGGAACACGCATTTACATTTCCTTTGTGCCTTTTCACGGTTATTTATTCTTTTTCCCTCGTGCCAACATTTGGGCATTTTTTTGAGCATCTGCCTCTGTGCCAGGCATATCCTGGGCACTAGATATGTAGGCACAACATGGGCATGGCCCCTGGTCTCCAGAGCTAGCGGTAAGCAGGGAGAGAAACGTTAAGTAAATATTTGGCATTGGAGAACAGCGTGCTGAGAGAGAGAACAAAGGGGCCTAATTGGGAGTGAGGAGGGGTCGGAAAGCTGCTCTTAGGAAGAAGGATAATTAAACCAGCATCTGAGGGAAGAGCAGAAATGGGGAGGAAGAGCATCCCAGGCGGCTGTCTGGCTCTCAGAATCCTGCTCACCCTTGAGACTAGCCTTTTCCAGGAAGACCTGCCTGCTCACTCCTTGACATGCATCACTGCCCCTTCTAGAGGTCCATGGCTCTTGCTTCTATGCACCAGAGGCTTCTGATGAGAATCTGCTCAAGCCTTTCCCCAGGGAAGCGTGCAGAGGGAAGACGGACAGTGTGTTGTTGCTTTGAGCTCTGTCCTCAGATTGGCACCAAGGAAAATCCAGGAGGAGTTCAGCTTGGCTGAGCTGAGCGGGGAGGGGAGTCAGGATGTTTGTTGCATATCGGACTGATGCTTTGGGGCTTTGGCCTGCCTCCAGGAGGGCAGTGCAGCCAGGCCGAAGGTCACTCGGCTGATTTCCAGGAGCTGCTGGGACAGAACCCAGGAATCTGTGATTGTGGTTGCTGCTTGTCAGGAGCCATAAAGCCTTCGGGGCTTAGAGGAAACACACCAGAAGCCTGCAAGCTCGTGGGAGTGGGATGGCGGACTGCTGTTGGGGGGAGCTGCAGCCCCACATCGGCTGCTGCTGCTACTAGCTGTCTGGCCGTGATCTAGGAGGAGGCTGGCCGAGAGATCGTGCATGGCCACTCTGCCCCTGCTCTAAACCCTTCGATGGCTCCCTGTTACCTTCAGGACAGGACAGATGACCCTGCCATCCTCCTAGCCTGCTTTGTGCAGGCATACCCCACCTGTCTGGTTGTTCCAAGCGCTCTAGATTCCCAGGTGGGACACCTGTGTGGCTTTGCAGGTCTGCTTGTCTTGCTGAGCTTTCTTTTCTTCCTGCATCCTCGACAGATCAAGCCCTAAATGGCCTTCCAAAACTTGGCTAGGTAGATCTCTTTTCCTTGGAGTCCCCACTGACCTGCTGCTCTCTGCAGACCGCCACACCCTCCTCTGTGCGCCCCGGCCCTGGGTACTCACCACTGCACGGCAGTCCCGCTTCCCTCTCTCCTCTGTCCCCTCCCTCCTTTCAGTTCCTCGGCGATAGTTATCAGGCGATAGTTACCGGGCACCTCACCATGTTTCAGTCACACCGGGGTGATGGGAGTTTGAAGTCTCAAGGTTGCTGGATAAATTCATCAAATAGTGAAGATGAAGAATACCCAAAGAAGTCAACCCACAGAATGGGAGAAAATGCTTGGAAATCGTATATCAATAAGAAGTTAGGCTGGGATAAACGCTTCTCTCCATGCTTATAAAAGAAATGAGTAAATAAATAAAAGGTTGAAAATAAAAAGAAGCCGAAACCGGTTTGGCTCAATGGATAGAGCGTCGGTCTGCGGACTGGAAGGTCCCAGGTTCGATTCTGGTCAAGGGCATGTACATTGCTTGCAGGCACATCCCCGGTAGGGGGTATACAGGAGGCAGCTGGTTGATGTTTCTCTCTCATCGTCATTTCTAGCTCTCTACCCCTCTCCCTTCCTCTCTGTAAAAAAATCAATAAAATATATATATTAAAAAAAAGAAAAGGATCCGCTGAAAGACTCCCAGTCTCGGATCTGTTGCTAGTGAAGCAGAGCCGGCGGGAGGTGGGGGAGTGCTGTTACAGGACCATTTCAAACTCGGGTTCTTCCTAAGCAAACACAAGGCGAGGAGCTAATTAATTCAGGCTCTGAGCACTTTCCCTGGCAGAGTTCTGGGCTCCCGAGAGGGCTGTGCCCAGGCCTCAGGCTCTCGGTGGGCACAGCCAGGAAAGGAGAGATCCCAGCATGCATCTCAACCCCAGCCTCACTTTCCCAGGGTAGACCTCCCAGTCCTCAGAGAAGGCGGGAGTTCTCACCGTGGCCCGAGCTTTCCTTCCTCGTGTGGATCAGCTGGACATTCTGTCATTATCTTAGTAGCTCACCATCTCCTGCTGGGCCATAAACTCTTTGCGAGTGGGTGATGTGGCCATCTTACCTTTTTCCTAGCAGCTTTACTGAGATATCATTCACATACCATGGAAGGTACCCCTTTAAAGTCTACAGCTCAGGGCTTTTCGTACGTGAGTATTTGGGAGTTCTTTATACTGTAATTTTAACAACTGTTGTATGTTGAATTTTTCATATATATATCTATATATATTTGATTTCAGAGAAGAAGAAAGAGAGAGAGAGAGAGAGGAAAACATCAGTGATGAAAGAGAATCATTGATTGGCTGCCTCCTTCACGGACACTCACTGGGGATTGAGCCTGCAACTCGGGCATGTGCCCTTAAAGGGAATTGAACTCAGGACCCTTCAGTCCACAGGCCCATGCTCTATCAACTGAGCCAAACCGGCTAGGGCAGTATATTAAATTTTTTTTAAAATTGTCTCTCACAATCCCAGCCACAGAGGGAATCAAGCCGTGGACCCTGAGAGGTTCCTATGTGCTGGGTGCTTTATATGCATGTTTCATTTCAACCTCAGCTGCTGAGGAGGAAACAGGGTGAAGACAGGTGACCGGGGGCACAGCTTGGTTGAGCAGCAGAACCCGAATTCCCATGTGGGTCTCCTACATTCTGTTGTGGCCTGTGTGTCTCCAGGAGTTATCCTTTCCCTGGGGATGGAGCCGGCTGCGTCCTCACTGGTGCCTGGCACTTTCTGAGCCTGTGCTCCGTGAGGGCAGGAGGGGCTGCCATCCTGGGACGCGAAGGAACGCCAACAGGGTATGGAGGGTATGGGTGCTCTTTAACCAGTCATAAGGCAGGCTGTACTCTCCCCTTTCTGGGACATCCGAGGCTCTCGGGAGGCGGCCCTGACCACCCCTCTGCCCTGCCCGTTCCAGGAACTGAAGCTGCCTGCCTTCCGAGCCCACTCCCCGCTCCTGAAGAGCCGGCGGTTCTTTGTGGACATCTTGACGCTGCTGAGCAGCCACTGCCAGCTCTGCCCCGCAGCCCGGCACCTGGCAGTCTACCTGCTGGACCACTTCCTGGATCGCTACAACATCACCACCTCCAAGCAGCTGTATGCCGTGGCCGTCTCCTGCCTCCTGCTCGCAAGTACGTGGAAACCGCTTCTTTCCCTGGGCTGCTTCCTCCTCCTCCTCCTCCTCCTCCTCCTCCTCCTCCTCCTCCTCCTCCTCCTCCTCCTCCGTGAGCCTGGGTGCTCCCAGATCTTTGTTCACTTCCATGGCCTGTGCACGGCTCCCCTGCTCATGCCAGCTGAATGGGAACTAACGTTATTAGTAATAATCATCAGCATTTTTTCTTTAGCATCTGTAATGTACCAGGCTCAGTGATCAGGATTTTAGCATCTTGATCTTTTATTATTTTTTTATTTCATTTTTTTATCCTCACCCGAGGATAATGTGATTTTTATTGATTTAAGAAAGAAAGGAAGGGAGGGGGAGAGAGAAACATCAGTGTGAGAAAGAGACATCAATCAGTTGCCTTCCATATGTATTCCAATGGGGGATTGAACCCACAACAACAACTGAGCCACCAGTCTGGGGACTGAGCCATGTACTTTTAATTAACACCCTCTTCCTTATTAAACAGTGAGTTTTTCTGGGAGGGAAAGGAGTGTGAGACATAGTAAGACTTCAAAAAACATAGTAGTATATATGTATGGGGTAAATGAAATAACGGAACAAGGGTTTCTTTAAAGCTGGGCTTCTAGCCTTAACCTGTTTGGCTCAGTGGATAGAGCGTCGGCCTGCAGACCGAAGGGTCCCAAGTTCAATTCCGATCAAAGGCATGTACCTTGGTTGCGGGCACATCCCCAGTAGGGGGTGTGCAGGAAGCAGCTGATCTATGTTTCTCTCTCACCGATGTTTCTGATTCTCTATCCCTCTCCCTTCCTCTCTGTAAAAAATCAATAAAAATTTTTTAAAAAGAAAGAAAGAAAAAGCCGGGCTTCCACACTTCTCCAGGTTGCCCTTAATATAGATACAGGTGGCTGACAGGAGCAAAATGTCCCAAGGTGGCCAGCGGCCGTCATAACACTCCTTGGACACCTAGTATTTCCTCCTTAAAAATTCAATCCGGTTTTACCGTTCCCACCACACTATGTTACTGTCCTGTTTTATTATCTGCGAGCCATCCCCCTCCCTTGGGTCCTGCTGTTGCCGTAAGAAGACGGCACCTGGTTTCTCCTGAGGCCCTGCCTGCTCCCGGCAGCCTGCCACGAACCCCCGTGGGCACAGGCACCCAGCTCCGGAAGCTGCAGGCTTTTCAAAACTGCGTCTTGTTTTCCACACCGGCACCTCCCCCTGCAGGTGTTCATCGTCCCTCCAGCTGTGCTGGGTTCACAGCCTCCGGGTTTGCGATCTCCTCTGCCATGGGCCAGCTGGGTTTCCCCGGTCACACAGAGGAGCCAGCCTGGCGGAGCCCGCTCTGCTGGCTGCCTGAGAGTCCCCATCAACAGGCAGGTCCCTTTGGTTTCGGGAGGAGAGGTGGGAGACATCCCTGTCAGCGGAGGGCAGAAGAGGCATTGCATTTCAGGCGGCCCCGGAGAAGCCTGTGCCGTGGCCTTTGGCCTGCTGCAGGCTGTGATCTGTGGGCTGCCTCCAGGCCCCCCGGGGGCAGGGGACTTAGGTTTCCATGGGGCCAGAGCGACTGTCTGGGGAGCGGGGACAGGAGGCGCACACTGGAGACTTCTTTGTGCTGCTGGGCCCATGGCTGACGGAGGGGGCCCTGCAGACAGAGAGGCAGACGCCCCCACCCACACGTCTGAGGGCAGCAGCCAGCCTGGGGTGGTGGGACGGGAGTTTTCAGGACACCTGCCATATGCTCAGAGGCCCCAGGGAAGAAAAGTTTCCATGACAGCCTGAAATCCTATTCATTCCTCCCTGCCCTCTCCCCAGGCCGACTGTCAGCCCCAAGGGGGGTCACCTTGCCGCAGGGCGTTTGAAGTTCTGCGAATTCTATACCCCATAATTCCCAGATAGATAAGAGGAGCCACCGTTCTTCCTGCCCCACCTGTCAGCTCTCAGATTTTTTGAGAGCTGCTTCCAGACAAGGGCCTTTGCACAGATGGAACCTTTTCACCTTCCCCCAGGCCCATCTGCCCATAAAGCAGGACTGGTCCAGTACCCATATCTACAGGCCTATGGGAGGAGGTGGGAAGAGAAACGGCCTGTAGGTTGTTCCACGGTGGATCAGTGGCAAAGCCACCTCATTGTCATATCTGAGTTCATTGTTTGGGTTTCCCCTACTTAATTCAGGACAGACTAGCTATAAATATAGTATAAATCGATTGGACTCCTTGAATCTTTCATCTCATATGGCACCCCTCTCCCAACTCTATTTGTTGTTGTTTAAAAGGATCATTTGAGCCGGGACCGGTTTGGCTCAATGGATAGAGCGTCGGCTTGGGGACCGAAGGGCCCCGGGTTCGATTCTGGTCAAGGGCATGTACCTTAGTTGTGGGCATATCCCCAGTAGGGGGTGTGCAAGAGGCAGCTGATCGATGACTCTCTCTCATTGATGTTTCAAACTCTCTCTCTCTCCCTTCCACTCTGTACAAAAATCAATAAAATATATTAAAAAAAAAAAAAAAAAAAAAGGGATCATTTGAGCCTAGCCAGCGTGGCTCAGTGATTGAGCATCAACCTATGAACCAGGAGGTCAAGGTTCGATTCCTAGTCAGGGCACATGCTGGGGTTATGGGCTCAATCCTCTATAGGGGCCATGTAGGAGGAAGCTGATTGATGTTTCTTTCTCTCCCTCCCTCTTCCTTCCTCTCTGAAATCAATATATATATATATATATATATATATATATATATTGATTGGAAGATTCTGTACCTGCGAATTTGCTTCGTTGCTTACCTGCATACCCAGTTCTGTGCCAATCACTTTATACACATATCACATGGAATCCTCACAAGCAGCCTGTGTGGTCGTGGTGTCATCTCCTCATTCTATAGGTTCAGAGAGGCTGAATAATTTGCCCAAGGCCACCCAGCTCAGAGCTTTATTGTTATTAATTGATGTAAAATTCAGACCACGACATAAAGTTCACCATTGTAACCATTTCAAAGAGTACAGTTCTGTGGCATTTAGTACATTCATATGGTTGTGCACCTGTCACCTCTGTCTCATTACAAAGCGAGGTGACCAGATGTCCCGCTTTTGGTGAGACAGTCCCGATTTTTAACAATTTAAAAGTTCTTTCCAAAAATTGAGACTTTTTAAAATTTTATTTATATTTTATTGATTTTTTTACAGAGAGGAAGGGAGAGAGTTAGAGAGCTAGAAACATGGATGAGAGAGAAACATCGACCAGCTGCCTCTTGCGCACCCCCTATCGGGGATGTGCCCACAACCAATGTACATGCCCTTGGCCGGAATCGAACCTGGGACCTTTCAGTCCGAAGACCGATGCTCTACCACTGAGCCAAACCAGCTTCGGCAAATTGAGACTTTTTTAAAACGCCGCGGGATGCGGGACAAATTGTTAAAAATTGGGACTGTCCCGCTAAAAGCAGGACGTCTGGTCACCTTACCCCAAAGGGAACCCTCGGACTCATTAGGCAGCCACTTCCTGTTCCTTCCCAGTCCCTGGCAACCACTCATCTGTTATCTGCCTGTGCAGATTTGCCTATTCTGCAGGTTCCACATAAAAGGAATCATAAAATATGTGGCCTTCTGTGTCTGGCTTCTTTCCCTTGATGTTTTCAGGGTTATCCGTATTGCAGAGGTGGAATTGTTGGACCCAGGGGTGTGTGCATTTAAGATTTTGATAGCTAGCGCTAAAATGCCTTGCAGAGGTTGCGACAAAACCGACACTTGATGAGATCCCTTTTTTTTTCTTAAATTCAACTTAATTTTTGGGAGATGTGGAGCCATGCCTTCCACCTAAATAGCAAGCTGTCAGAAGAGGGGTGCTGTCCCCTCCACACCCTAGCCCCTCCCCGGCTTCCACGGGCGGCATTTCTCCTGTGCTCCCCTGGGGAGCGTATTTCCCTTCTGCCTTCCTGCCCCGTCCGGTCTGCGATGTCCAGGCCAGGAATCCGCTCTCAGACCAGTCGCTCTGAAGGCTTCTGAAACCAGAACGTATGATAAAGAGAAACATCACATGACCTCACTCATTTATGGATAATAAAGAACATTATAAACTGATGAACCAAAAGATAGATATAGAGACAGTAAAGTAACAAGCAGACTGTCAAATTACAGCGGGGAGGGGAGGGAGATCTGGGAGAGATAAGAGATCAACTGAAGGACTTGTATACATGCATATAAGTACAACCAACTCTGGGGAGGGTGGGTATGTATGGGGGGGCAATGGTAAAATATGTACACAGATAATAATTTAATTAAAAAAAAAAAAAGAACGTATGATAGCCACATCTCGTAGGGCGGGTCAGCGAAAGCCATTGCTTGCCGGGTGCTTGTGTGCTGGGCCAGTCTTTCTCCCAGGAACCCACCTTCCCGCCCCAGCACCACCCCCTGCACCCCTCCTTTTCCCCTCTGTCCCCCGGCTTTGATCATTTGATAGCTTGCCTCTGAGAAGCAGCTTCTTTGACAGTTGAGTGGAGGCGCAGGATGGAACTACCCGGTGGAGATTTTGGAAATTTGAAAGTAGCCTTAATCAAGTTTGGTGGAAAGGATGAAGGAGGGCACTGCCTTCCTTCCCCAGGGAGGGTAAGCCCACCGGCCCTCCAGGCAGGAGGTGCTCAGGGTGCCTCCAGCGCACTGTTTGTAAGCAGCACCTGCAAACGGGGTGAGTTGACTGGGTGGCCTATTCCAGGGGTGTATTTCGGACCGAGCGTGAGATTTGCTTGCAGGATTAACCCCAAATCTGCAAGGACATGTGGCTGTCCCCGTGCAGGAGATAAAATTTAACTCTCGTAAGAGTGCCCCCCTCAAGGAATACTTTTCCCCCAGGCCACGGTTTCACATTTCCAAAGTCAGGATAGGGCTTGTGCCAATTGTCTATTGTTTTCCCTGAGATCTGCTGTAACACAGTGGGGCACCTCCTCCCTGGCATCTCGGTGGTCACTCAGCACAGGGCGGGGTGGTCACCCAGCACTGGAGATGGTGGTCCATCACGGA